TCGAATTAGTAATTAACATCAAGGATGGATATATTTGTTGATGAGACACAAAAAAATCGCAGATATGAAAAAGTTTGTCACCTTGGCGAGGGTCAATTCGCAAATGTGTTCCTGGCACGTGATCTGCAAAGGGGCGGTTGCCTCGTAGCTATAAAAAAGGCAAGTTCGCTCCGGCTACGAGCTCTGATTGCTTACGCAAGCAACTAAAAAAACTATTCGAACACGAAGTGGGTTTGTAGGTCAAGGCTGGTCCTCGTTGGGTACTAGCGGATGGCATGAATCTCTCGGCCATACGCGAAGTCAAACTCCTGCGCGAAATCGAGCACCCAAATGTGATGAGTCTTCAAGATGTCTTTAGTCAGGATTCTGGGATCTGTTTAGTTTTTGAATTTATGGAATCTGATCTGGAGGCTGTCATCCAGGACTCCAGTGTTGTACTGACTCCAGCCAATATTAAATCATTGAGTCTTCAGGTGAGTTACCACTTTGCTCTACAACGCTTTCAGCTTTTGAAAGGTGTCGAATATTTACACGCTCAATGGATTCTGCATCGTGACCTCAAACCAAACAACCTCTTTCTCAGTCCGCAAGGTGTCGTCAAGATAGGGGATTTTGGCCTTGCAAGGCACTTTGCGGCCTCTCCTGGCAGAGCGATGACCCATCAAGTGGCCACGCGCTGGTATCGCGCACCTGAGCTCATCTATGGTTGCACACGCTACGGAGTTGGCATTGATTTGTGGGCTGTTGGTTGCATTATTGCCGAGTTTCTGCTTCGCGTGCCTCTCTTCACGGCCGACTGTGATTTTTCGCAACTAGATAAGATTTTTGAGGTAATTGCTGACTCGCTGTTGTGGTGACTCCGGACCACACGTGGCATGTTAGATAAATAGGTACTAGCTCTCATCGATTTAGATAACGGGCACCCCGGATGAGAATATGTGGCCAGACGTGGTTCGATTGAATGGCTACTGTTCATTCAAACCGCGTCCACCAATGCCGTTTTCACAAATATTCACGGCAGCAGGAGACGATCTGATAGCACTACTCTACACCCTGCTTTCTCTGGACCCCGACCTAAGAGGGACTGCCACATCGGCTTTGGCGTCAGCCTACTTCCGTAATCGCCCTGAACCCACGCCCGAGGCACAACTGCCGCGTCCAAAGTTGAGTCATTCGGTGGCGGGCACGCTGCAACAGCGGCAACGCCAGGTTATTGCACCCATTGACCCCGCCTCCTTCTTTGATGACGCTGACCTGCCTCCCACACCGCCACCCAAACGCCGGAAGGAACCATAATCTCTTGCCTGTATATGCTACTTGTTTGTATGCTTAAAATCACACACACCTTGTGAATCTTGTTTTTCCATCTTTATTCTCCCTTTGGAGATAATTTGGTCTTGGGCGCTGACGCAAATTACACATGTGGAGGCGTCCCCCTCTAAGAGAGTTATTTGAACGATCTTAGGCAAATAGATAAACCGACGACGAGGTTGTAGCCGCGCGCCCAATTGTGAAAGATTTTGTCAAAAGTAGGGGGATTCGTTCGGTAGGCGTGCGGGTCAGTTGAGCTCTATGCGCTGAACCTACCAGCCGAGGGGCTTTGATGCGTTATGGGAGGACTACGGGTTACCCTGCTATACGTTACATGGAAGGGTCCGAAACCTGTATTTGTTAATTTGTACAGAAATAAAAGTTTGAGGAAGTAGGAGGTTAGCAGCGTTTCAGCATCTGAAGGAGGAGCCAGGCATCTGCGAACGCCTCCTTATCTAACCCATCTTGAAGGAAAAGTGTTGTGCTTGAAACTAGATCCTCTTTTACGCTCTAGCAAAAATAGAAATCCAGTGGATGTATTTGTCACGATCTAGTAATGTATATGGGACAATTTAATCATGAACAAATTAAAAATCAACAAGTAGCAACGAATCAGCTGTTGTTGAACTTCTGCTTTAATAAAGGTGATACAGAATCGATAATCTGCTACATAATGCTTAGATTAAAGTAGGAGATAAACAACATTACTAGAGGCTTGTATGATGGATGGTCTGATGCTGCTTTATGGATATGGAAGGTAAGCAAACGCAACACCTAAAGCCTCCAGTTGATTTTCGAATAGTAACCGCATAAAGATGTCAGTAAGGTAAAGAACAACCTAACATATGGACACACTTATGTAGGAGTACACGATAAGCCCAAAGAGAACATGTCTAATGCTCCATATCACAGGTGCAATGGGGTAAAAAACTACAGTAGTCTAAGATAGATAAAAATCAAATCTTAATTTCTTGGTAAAATCACAATAACATCAAAGGCCATTTGAAGGAATAAAGGGAAACTACTAAATAATATGAAGTAGCCAACATAGCATGTAATATGAGACCTATTCACTCAATTTCAAAGGGTTACATGATTGAACTGCGACGATGATTCAAAACTTAGAATAGTACACTTACCAACAGGCCATTCAAAATTGATCCTCGAGGAAATAGCTTTTTATCTTGAACACTTATGCCATAATACACGTTGCCAAGAAATTTTATTGACTTCAGAAGAATGACCTCATTTTTTTCAGAGAACACCTGTTTCAAAACTAATTCAAATCCATCAAAGGCCTAAAAGCCATTAAGAACAAATTGATAATAGCAGCGATGAACGATTGCGAAAAAACTGAGCTAATGGACCAAAAAACGGCTGTGAAAAACACTCAAAAATCTACTACAGAGGTTCCGTGTATATAACACAATCCCAGAAACAGCAATGAAAGTAAACAAGGAGTGAACGAATCAAGGGGTGGGATATTGCAAATGCTACGCATTAGCAACTCATGACTAGTTGCCAAAACTAAAGATTTATGATGAAATACCTTCATTAAAGGCTAGCAAAGCATACCTCAGCTCTAAGAATGACATCCAAGCATTGCTTGTTGCAGGAGAGATTCAAAAGAACAGTCCAGACCTGGCGTTTGACTACATCGCTTTCACTAGTTATAAGCTCCAATACTTCTGACAAATGCTGCCCAACAGTGACGCAGGCATCATCCATCATGGAGAAGTTTCCTAACAGTCGAACCAACGCGACCAGTTCATTCATATGCAACGAAAGCAACTTTACTTCAAAAAAGCAATTGATATACGCCTTAATCCCCCATATAAAAACCGAAATATACCCTTAAATGCTTCCGAATCATGTCGTCAATGATGAGATTTGAGAACAAATTCAGCACGTGAATACTTGCCGATCGTAAAATTGTGCTATCCGTACCCAAATGTATCAATGAAAAGAGACCATCGAGAATCTCCGCCGACCTAAACAAAGGCTTTGTGAATAAACATGCACTCAAGAGAATACTATGTTAGCATTATAATTGCTGAGTTGCACAAATGTCTTCAGTATTCTGAAGAAATCATCTGTGTTTGATGATGGTAGCAAGGACATTAAATGCTGAAGTTGCTCAGCAGAGATTTGGTTGTCCTTATCGCATATTTCAACGCAAAAAGATAAGTCCTGTTGAAGTGCCTGGATTGGTAATATTTTCTGGTAATTGGTACTAAGGGAAGTTCCGTTTTTAGATCTCTGACGACTTGATGTTTGGACGAATTTGCGGTATAAAGCGAGAAATCCAAACATAGCCATGGCAGCTCCAAGCATACCCAATTTAAAAACATGGAATCTAAACATCCCCACGCAGCTAAAATGGTAAGGTAACCAGGTTTATCAAATACGTAGTAACATAAGTTGAGTTCAAATAAATTTTACAGAGCATGAATGCCAAAAGTCACTGAAAAACTTAATTCATACGTAAAAATCGGCGAAGTAAAGTGTTAAGAGGGGACACATCCTCAGTGCACTTATACTGATGTCCCAACAGAAACCAGTTGTATAACCAAACACAACCCACACAATTGCACATGCAACAGGAGCCAATTGAGAAGCCGAAGTATAAGGTGAAAGACTGCAAGGAATATGTTGCATAGATATGAATTTTGGTTAATCGTGTAAGGCAAATAAC